ACTCAATCCCCATAGAATACAAGATCAAAATGTTATTTGGTTGAATGAGATTTTCATCCCTTATCTTGTTTAATTTCAATTTTGATCTCAACCAGCTTATGTCATAATTTCAATTCAAATTCAAGCATAATGGTCTATCTCTTGAAATAAAAGTAAAGCAAATAATTACAAAAAGAGTAAATTTAAAACCAAGTGAGCTAAACCTAAAGCTCAATTTAAAGTAACTATGAGACTCGAGAATCCAAATAATCTCGGATAAAATAGGGTATCTATAAAATACATATATTTTTTAATATTTAATTAGAATAATATTATTAGATTATTCCATTTATAGCTAAGTGAAACTTAATTGCAATTTGCCACTGACCTAAATTTGGAGTGATAAGATTGTTAGGTATGTATATATTGGTTAGTTTGTATAAATCTTATCCAATCCTCACAAGAATGAAAGAATTCTATAATTAAAAAATTAAAATAAATCACAAATCAGTTCATACTACACCATGAAAAAGAGTGATATTAAACGAAATCGAAGTTTAATTCAATTCGTTCATATAATCGAATCTTTAAAAGATAAAATTCAATAAATTTATAATTCAAAATTCAACATCAATAATTTTTTTTTCATTTTCAAGTTGCCTTGTTTCTCAAGTTATGATCTCCTGTAAAAAAATTAGTATCAAATGCTTAAAGAAACTAAGATCTCCTATATTTATCTAAGGACCAAAAGAAAAGAGAAAAAATGAACAATTTAAGAGTATGATTTGGGTGTCAGGCAACATTGCCTCGAACAGCGAAGGCACGTCAATTATTACTACCAGTCTACCACTTTATCATGGCATGCAGCTAAACATGGCTTGGAAAATAAAGCAAAATTTGCTTTTAGGGTTTTTTAAATTCCTTTTACTTCATTAAGAAATATAGTATCAATTAACTGGCAAAAGAGTCGAAAAAACCTTAGAACAAAAATTTAATAATTATTTAAATTTTTAATATTTTATTATAATTAATTAAATTTTTTATTTTTTATTTTCGATCGGTTGAATTTTTATTTTCACCTCAATTAAGCATTTAATTAAATAGAAATTGGTGTTGAGAGGAAAATAATTTTTGTTTAATAAAGACTCAATTGATGAAAATAAATATTTAAAAACTTAATTAATTACAATAAAATGATAATAATTTAAATAATTATTAAATTTTTATTTTAAAACTTTTATAATCCCTTAACCTAATTAATTTAATATGTATGATGAAAGAGCCAGCTATGACACCTTTGCCTGCTACCCCCCCCCCCCCAAACCCCCAAAAGAATCACATGAAGAAATCCCCCTTTTTTTTTTAACATTAGCTTATCATAATGTTTCAGAATGTTGGCAACTCTTAATGCATATTGCTCAAAACCAGGAAACATCAGCAATTTGGCTGCTCCCCTTCCCCTTCATTTTTGACTTTTTTGATCAACAAAAGCTTGTTTGTGTTTTTATTATTTGTTACAGTCTAAATTCCAACACCATTATTGACACTGATCTTTTGCAAAAAAAAACTACATTATGTAAATAAAAAAAAATTACTTACCATTAATATATTGTTTGGAGTAAGAATGTCAATCTTACGCATATCCAATAAAAAATCTAATTTTTTCTCATAATGAGGATGGGGATAAGTATTATATTGTAGACATGGGATAAAAATGAATATGATTTTAAATTTTTATTAGATACAAAGACAGTGATAAGTAATATGGTATCTGTTACTACTCATACCTTAAATATATATTTTTATATATTTAGTAAACAGATTTTTTATTAAATAATATAAATTATTATTTTAGATTAATTAGAATTAATATATTTTATTGAAAAAATATATATTTAAAAAAATTACCTAAATATACAAAATAAAAATTTTAAAAATTAAAAATAAAATTTTATTTTTATTTTTATTTTTTAAAAACTATGAATTAAATATCCACGTAAATAAAAATGAATATAAATTTAAAATATTCATTAAATATGAATACAAAAATAAATACAATATAAAAATTCGAAGATAGAGATGAAAAATGTCATATCTTACTATCCATTAACACCCTTAATTTGGAACGAGAGACCGACGTTACACGTTTTCTCTTATTCCAAAATCATAAGTCTGCACCGTTTATTCATTTGCAAAATATTCATACTTTCACTTTTTTAAAGAGATTAGTGGAGCATATACGAGGAAAGGAAAAAAAAAAAAAAAACAGTCCATATTGCTTTTTCTCAATAACTAACAGTTTCCTCTTAAATTGATGCTTTTCAAACTATTTCGTCATTCAATTCAAGAATAATTAATTTTAATCCCGTGATATCTTGTAACCCATTTTCTTAAATTGATATTTAGTAAATGAATAATATTTTATAACAATTTATTTTAGAGTGCTTAAATATATATATTTTAGTGTCCTAATTAGAAGATATGAAAATATATTCATGATCAATAATTAGTGTGCTATTTAGTTTTTATTTTATTTTTGTTATTGATCAAATTAATTATGAATAAAGTAAGAATATTAGGTATTTAAAAGGAAATAACCAAAATTAATTTAATCTAAGATAAAATATTTTAAATATATATAATACATTTATTAGAAATACATGATAATTTTAAACTTCTCCATATGTCAAAAATACAAGCTATCCTGGGGCCAATGAGGCCTGAGTAGTACTTGCTTGGACTGAAGCTACAAAGGAAGGCCAACGGGCCTGACCTGACCAATAGGCTCGTCCAATCCCCCAAACTCGTCCGCACCTTCCAAATTGGGACGCTCTAAACTTTAACAAGCAAAAAATTGGAATATCAGTGGACAAAATGGTAGCAGCTGTTGAGGGCTTAAACGGTGCAGTTTCTTCCAGGGAGAATTTTGAGGTTTCTACTAGTGTGACCGGTGACGATGGTGGTTCAGTTGGAGGAGATAGCATGAGAAATAACAAAAGGAGCAACACAGGGATGGCGAAGAGAATGAAACCGGAGGATGAATTGCGGAGGCTAAGCCATTGAGGATGCTGAAGAGAACAAAAGTTGGAGTTGCAGGGATAACGCAGGCGTTAGTTAGTAGAGTACATTCATGAGGAAATGGAATTAAGTTGGATGAGGTGGCTAAGTTGAAGAGCCTCTTTCTCTTAACTTGAAAAGGACGCACGAGATTTTGGAGGTTACTGTCTGTACATTGTTTTGATTTGTTATATTTCTATGGTTACTTACGAACCATTTCAATGATCCTATTGCTGACTGCTAATATCTTTCATGATATACTTCCAGAGGATAGAGTTATTGCATTATGTTATTGAATAAAACTAGAATCTTAATGTAGAGCAGAATTTCTATAGTATCAAGCTTGGCTGTTTGGTGTTGTGTTTATTGAATTGAGTCTGCTAGTAATCTTTTTTGAATACTAGCTCTTTCTTTGGCGCTTGGAGGAGAAGAGGATTAAGTGACAGGCAGAGGCAAAAGAAGTTATTAAAGAAATACATGCCGAAGGCAATGTAGCCAACAATTACAGCAGTCAAGACCCGGATGCAGTAAGAAGAGACAAGGTTGCAGATTGGTGAGTGATGTGCATGAGTATTCCCTTTCATCTCCATAAAAAAAACATTCCCAGAGTTGCTGAATTGATTGAAGCCAGTAGCATTGCGGCAACCTGGTCCTGGACATAGCCCCAACGAATCAAAATTTGCTAAACCAGATAAAGCTAGAAAGAAGAAGATCATGTCAAAAACGATACCATATCAGAAAACCCAATGCTTCGCCAGAGCAAACTTGTTTTAGGAAGCAGTAAAACCAGGAAGCTATAAGCACTGACTATTGCATTTTTTCCCATGAAGTACCTGAAATCATTGGTGCATTATTTGAGCCAAGAAAAAAAAAATGATTTACACGAAGCATGAGACATCCTTGGCCTCTACTTGGATTGAATGCCGGGAGGGGAGGGTGAATGTCTCATGGCTTATTCCCATTGCAATGGAGGCTACAAGGGCAGCCAAAACCCTGAGGATTAATGTGCAATTTGTCCTGAATAATGCTGAAGGCTCTGCTTCCGAGATCTTTCACTACAAAAACACAGTTAATTGCAGTTAGATTGAATGAACCAAAACCAAATTATCAACAACAGAAGAAAAGATGTGAATAATACAAATAACTAACACAACATTAATGCTATAATAATAGTAGAAGAGATCAAGAGAAAACGGTATCAGATTTGAGGTCACACTTTGTTTACAGGGAAAATGTTTATATGGACATGTTACCGAGTCCTTTTGAACGTATCCATGCTCCTTTTTTCTTTATAATATTGTCGGTTTCATATGTTTATAATCGAAGAAGAAGAAAAAGAATTTTATTTTGCATAAAAAGAATCGCAGTCACAAGAAAGAAATTGCAATAATTTGGAAGAGAATAAAAGTAGCTGACCTGCTTTGCTTGAAGGCCTAAAAGCGGCTACCACTCTTCCTGCAAAATAAATACCAACATGGGCAGTATAAGGTTTACAGTAAGGTTTAGGGACCGCCGTAGTTTAAAGACGATACGGTGAGTTTTGCGTTTTATTATTATTATTATTACTACTATTATTTATACTTGTTAGAAAGGGAACAAAATTAAAGCCTTTTTCTTCTTTTTTTTTATGGCGACGGTTCAATTCAATGATTAATGCTTTTTATTTTTATGTTTTTATTTAAACAAGACGGGGGCATAGCTCACGAGAAAAAACAAAAAAAAAAAAGATCTTGATTTAAGATTAAGACTTTCTAAGAATTTTTTTAATCATTAAATTAAAAAGTCGAGAATGATTAATGATTTAGATAATAGACAAAATTTTTAACTAAAATTTGATTTATTTTTATATGTAGTGTTCGTGTTGTTTTAAAATTAAACTTTTAAAAATTCAATCTTAAAACACAAAATGATAAAATACAAATCATGAAAGATTTTATAACTCCCATTCCGAAGTAACATGATATGTGATAAAAATCGCTAAAAATTTAATTTCAAAATAGCGTGATAGCAAATCGTTCCAATTAGGGGATTGCCCAGCATAAGTCGTGCATCATATTCGACCTTTTCCTTTAATTGGCACCGGGTTTATCTAATTGTATAGTTTGAAAATAAATTGATCCTCTAATTTCATAGCGTGTAGAGAAATAAATAGATTCCAGGCAGTGGAACTGTGGCAGTACAAATTTATACGCCTCATCCAATCAATTACAATTTCTTTGCCAAATTCCTTTCTCTTTTTCATTTGGTCAGGCAATTCCTGACCAGATAAAGCCTTTTTTTTTTTTTTTTTAAATGTGCATGAGCACCCAGAAAAAAAAAAAAGCAGCAAGCTTCCATTTATCCCAAGAAAAGAAAGCAACAAGATCAATGTTTTTCTACCCGTAACCACTACAAGTCTAAAAAGATGGGAAAGGAACGAAAAGGAATAACCTTCTTACCAGAACACAAATGTAGGCCTCATTAACAAGTAAAATGTTGCTGGACATATGACAAAAGAGAGAACACCCGGAGATTTCAATGAATAACCTGTATTAGCAATTCATGTACAAATACGACCAAAAACTCAAGTTACAATGCCGTCCATTCAAACCCCCGATATCGACCATGACAGGGTTGAATGTGACTATGAATCAAAGGACTTTCAAATCCTTCCATCATCGTGTCCACGGAAAATTTTACTTTGCTAACGACTGATCCAAAAGAAGAAGGCCACCCCATAAAAGACTGAACCTGCAAAGGGAACATGGGGGGATTCATTCCGAGTCAAATGCATACTTAAGCTTCAACGGCAGTAACAGCTTCTTCATCAGTAGTGTCAGTTGAAATTATTTCTTCTAAAGTATCCCCATCCAAAATATCTGTCTGCCTTTCCTTTTTGCTATCAGCTTCAAGTAGTTTTTCTCTAAGTTTCATCACAAGTTCTTCACATGCACTTTCCTTTTCAGCCAAAAATTTTTTAAAGGCTTCCTTGCCATGGATTTTCTGGTCATTGAAAATGTAGAATGAGCCAGCCCTCGTAACAAATTTGTGTTTTGTTGCCAAATCTATTATCTCCCCTTCCCGGGATATTCCCTTACCAAACAGAAGCTCAAATTCAGCATTCTTAAATGGAGGGGCAAGCTTGTTCTTCACAATCTTCACAAGAACTTGACTTCCGATAGTCTGCAGATTATAGAAATACCAACAGCACAATGAGACATGGAAAATATAGCACAATGTGATCCACTGTAAACAAAAGAATTATCTAGATTTGCATCTTGTCATTTCCTATCTTTTACATGAGTCCCTTTTGTGCCAAAAACTAGACATGCAAGGTAGTAAACAGGGAAAGGACTGAATCAATGAAAGAATTAAGTCCTTCCAAAATTAGATTAAGTTACAGGTTAGGTACTTGCTGGCTAGCAGATCAAGCCAATACAATATAACTACATGTTTAACTTGCTTGGGAATGTAAGAGACCATTCAAAGGAAATTTTAATGAGTAGCTCAACAGAGTTTTTACCAAGCTAAAGGAAAATAAACAAATCATTGGCACCCAAGCAGAGTTTACATGTGAATTATATGATGGGAGACTTTCTTAAACCACTACGTCCAAATGCAACCAACAAACTGAAGAGGAAAGAAAGGATGGAACTTAATACCTCTTCTCCTTTCTTGACGAACCCAGTTCTCCTAATGTTTAGACGCAATGATGCATAGAACTTCAAGGCATTACCACCGCAAGTAACTTCGGTTGGCCCACCAAATCCACCAAAGGTTGAAAGTTTTGACCTCACCTGTTATGTGTAGATAGTTAAGATGTGTTAAGATAAACAAAAAATTTCCATGCTTCATTTTGCATCTCAACCAAAAATCTCACAAGAACTCTGCACCTGACCACAATCAAGAGTAACAGTTTGGCAATGAAATATTGTATCAATCCAATAGCCAACTAATTAGTAGTCTGTATTCATAATAAAAGCCTTAAAAATGGGTCAAAAAGTTGACAGGGCAAAACTTGTAATGTACATGACGTAGGGAGTATAATCTTAATCTGTAACTAAACAAACTCAAAGCAAGAACTTTAACAACTGCATCTTAGTAAACTAAAGCTGTAGAGGACTATGGTGCTAACATCGAATTCATCATCAAATCTCATCAAGGACATAATCAGGATATAATACTTATACCTGATTTATAAAAATCAATATGGTTTGTGATAATGATAAGGAATGGCTCAATTTACGAAGAGCCTGGCTCATCAGTCTGGCTTGCATTGCCATATGAGCATCACCCATCTCGCCTTCAAGCTCACCTTTAGGCACTAGGGCAGCTACCTGAGATGAAAATAGAGTTATTATTACAACTCACTTCCAAATAAATATGATAAATTGCAGTATTGCACAGATAAAATTATAGAATTTCAACGCCTCAAGGATCAGTATCAATTCATTTGGCAAACAAACAATTATTTCAAAAAACCCTCCTTCAAATTAACATCATAACACAACCTAACTACCAAAGTTCTCTAAAGGAAAACTGTAGACAAAGAGAAGAACGCAGATTTGTCAAACACAACAGAAGCACAACTACAGAAGTATTTATTAGGTCACACTCCATCATGGAAAAGAAATGAATCCAAAAACACCTTACACTATCAACAACTACAACATCAACAGATCCACTCCGTATAAGGGTGTCTACAAGACTGAGAGCATGTTCTCCACAATCTGGTTGTGAAAGAAGCAAATTCTCAGTGTTTACCCCAATTGCCTCAGCTAGAGCCGGATCAAGAGCATGCTCAGCATCAATAAAAGCACAATAACCTGTATTTGAATATTATAAAAACATGTAAGAATCAAGCAGAAAGATAATAGAAAAAACCTCAACAGAATAGAAGATAGTTACAACAAAATCTCCTCCACCCTCCAAATCTGATCACCTCATAAATAGATTTAAGAATGTCATATGCTGCATACAACACTCCTTAACAATATTTAAGATGCTATTTTCATAATAATCTTTCAAACGCCAGAAATCTAGAATCTGTAGACAAGGCATATATTGGAAAGTAACATGAAAGTTTAACCTATCATAGATTCCTACTATCTGTTCTAGACATGAAACATAAGATGCTTGTTTTCTAGTAGAACAGCAGGAAGAAGTTACAAATGGAAAGGTATTCTACTCTGCCAAGACAGAATAATGGATGTCATGATGAATGGGCAGTTCATCATAACAAATCATAAATCAGACAGTACTAAGTTAAACTACATTAAGTGACCTCCTTGCTTCTGTGCTTCAGCAATTACATGAAGAGCAAGAGTTGTTTTCCCAGAAGCCTCCGGTCCAAATATCTCGATGACACGGCCCTGTAAAATTCCAATAAAGAGATGTCTAAGGAACTGATAAACGACACAAGCAGCTATTACTTAGTAGAAGGATATATTAAGGGGAAAAAATGAAACAAGAATAGCAGCGAACCTTTGGAAGTCCACCAGTTCCAATTGCTATGTCCAAAGCAAAAGAACCAGTGGAAACTACCGGAACATTTCTAAGAGACACAGAACGACCAAGCCACATAACAGATCCTTTTCCAAAAGAATCAGTAATCTGATCCAGGGCTTGTTTTAGGGCTAAATCTTTCTTGGACATATTCTCCTCACTGGAATCGCTTCCATCTGACTTGGATTTCCTCCTACCTTCAAGCAGGCACGTATCAAGATAAACCCAAACACAAGAAAAGTAAGTGCCATATTTAGTTTTTAACTCTAATTAATCAAGCTCAAGAAAAATAACGAAAGATCTCCATCATTTAGATGGCACTATTTTTTTATAGAAACGACACTAAATTAAGCACTATGCTTTACAGTAAAGCTGACTTCTTTCAATTAAATACCATTATAGAATTCAACATTCATTAAGTTAATAAAAATCCCATTAAAAATAGCTCTTCTACTGTGACTTAATCAAACACTTTCGCTTTGGATTTTTGTTTTTGTTACATGTATTTTGTTTTCAGTTCATTTTTATTTTTCACTTTCTGTTGAAAAAAAAAAAAAGCAAAAAGCAAATAACAAAATTATAAGTAAAAGGAACCTGAATAACCAAATAACAATATTTCGAGTATCAACATTCCAACTGAAGCTTGTAATGGAAATTTCAATACCTTTAGAATAAAAATTACACAGTAGAGAAGATGGCCCTAATACCCCTCCTCTATATACCTGCAAGCAAAAAAAAAGAAAAAAAAAAATTATTCAAAGTTTCTTTTTTTTTTTTTCCTTACCAACCTAAACTTTCTTGCAAAAAAAATGAACACAATGCAAGATAATCAGATACTTTGAACAGAACAAAAAACAAAGGGACGTGAACTTATCGAAGAAAATAAACAAGAGGGTAAGCATTAAAACCTCTGGAGCGAAGAGAGAACGTTTCAGAGAAGAAACATTTCGAAGAAACCCCGCCATAGCACGCAATGAAAGGGCTTTGTTTAGACTTAAGAACTTAAAATCAGGAAAAAAAAAGGGGCGGGGGGGGGGGGGGGGAAGATGAAGAACAAATTAGTTGTGCTTAAATGTTATTCCACGGATTAAAAAGTGGGAGTTTTTCTTTTGTGTTTTTAAAGAGAAAAAAGAGAGCAGAGAAAGAGCGGACACTCTGCTCTGTGAACTGTGATGTTAGGGTTTCAGGTTGAGTTGAGTTTCCCTCCTTTTTGACATTTCAGTCGGGTTAAGCACCCAACTGGGTCCGGAAGCCTGCTGGTTGGGCCGACCAGGCCTTGAGGGGATTGTGGTGAAGTCGAATGGACGGGGCTTAGTTTTAAGCATGGTTCCCCTTTTGGGCTGCCAGCATGCCACCCAAGGTGATCATGTCATGCGGGTTAAGTACCGATGTTTTTTTTTCTATCAAAATTCAAAAAAAATATCTGCTGCCTCGGTATTTCTTTCATAATATAATTCGCTCAGGCGGGCGGACAAAATCTACGCAATTCACCCATGTCTGGACCGATCCATCATTTGATATCCATCAACTAATCAAAACCATTTATAACAAACCATTTGGGATTATCAAAAGTAAAACTCATCGGTGCTTTACCCAACTTAAAATTTAGATTTTGTTTACTTATCAAACTCCATGAAAAATGAATCAGACAACCCTTGTTTACTTTAGGCTTTCGAGATCTCGATACATTGAAAACGCCAATAGCAGAATAAAATAAACCAACACCATGGAAACATGGAGAGCAGATGAGAAACTTAACAATCTTTAGCCTTTCTAGTGGAAATTGGGGAGGTATATCATAAGAAAAAGAAAAGGTATAACAAAGAGCCCAAAAACAAATAAATCAACGGCAATAGCCAATTCAATACTCACATAGCATATGAATCATGAAAGAATAAAATAAACAATGCTTGGGAAGAGAAAACAGAAATCAGCATTAAAAAATAACTATATCACTGATAAGAAGCTATCACAACAAGAACACAAAGGCAGACATATACTCGAGTTTCTGGAAACATTAATATGAAAAAAATCTCAACACATCTCGACTACCAGACCACGTCCTATCAAACCTACAGACCAGACCAAAAAAGGGAAAAGAAGGATTCTCCAAACCAATAATTCTGGTACAACATGAAAAAAAGTAAAAATAAATAACCACCATTCTGGTATAACATGGAAAAAGTAAAAATAAATAACCACCAAAACTGCAAACCCCCCTTCCCCCTACTCTTCCAATAGGACATCTTTATAGAGCACTCTGCAGACATTGCCACACATCTGCCACAGCAGCAATTAGCTACTGCTGCTTGCATTCTGGAGGCCTCTCACCTTGCTGCCCGTCCCCTTGTGCTCTTCCACTCTTCTACAGTAAATAACAAAAATAATCAGGCATGAATTTCAATAAGAGGGACAAAAAAGAGACCTAAATGATATGGAATTGGTATACCTTTTGTGCAGATGAGGACTGCTTCAACATTTTCACGCAATTTAATAAGCATCATTTCAAATTCAGAAAGAATAATTGGGCATAAATATAAGACAAAAATCTAGTATATCATACTTGTACCTTCTTTTTCGTCTTAGTTTCTTCTTCTTCTTCTTCCTCATCCTCATCCTCATCATCATCCTCTTCCTCTTCATCGTCCTCATCCTCATCACCATCATCATCATCTTCATCGTCATCTTCTATCTCAACCTCATCTCCCTGAATAGCGTCTCCTGTAAACCATGACACAGCATGTGGAATGATCTTGTCTCGAAGTGTTGACCTGCACAAATAAACAGATAGAATAAAAAAAAAATTATTTCATACATATAACGTTGAGTAATGACGTCTCTAACTATCAATTAGATTGATCACTACAAGCTCATACAAAGTATGAAGCGTAGTTCAAACTACTTAACAAGCCCATAACTAAAGTAAGCTGAAAAGAGAACACACCCTATGTCATAATCCTGTTCCATTTGATTTTGTAGCCCCTCAGCCTGTGCAAGAAAGTAAAAACAATTTGAGTAGCAAAAATAATTAATCAATCATCAAAGTTTATATAGATATGGTGAGGTTCGCCATACGGTATCTTCATCAATGTCTTCATCATCATCAGGCACTTGAGGAGGATTAAAAAAGTTGAAGAAACTTTCACAATCTTCTGTTTTAGTAATTGGCTTGGCATTCTTTGATCCCTTCTTAGGCTTCTTTTTAAGGAGCTTTTGTGTTAAGCATTTTCCTGGATACCATTCAATCTCCGTCCTACAAATTAGATGCAAAAAGATTTAGTTAAATGAAGTAAGAAGCTTTGTAATCTATAATCCACTAAGACAATTTTTAAAAAAAAGGACAGTAATGCTGCAATCATATACCCGATAGCTTTCTCAAGAATAGGATCATTTTCATCAATCATGTGATATGTCTTTGTCAAGATCGTATTTTTGAAATAAGGATTGGTGTCAAAGTAGAACTCAAGCTTGAATCCTTTGTGTTCCTCTATCCTATGCCACTTAATATCCTTGAGATATTTGAGAGCTCCTTCATCACGCTCAGTAATCTGATTCCAAACTCAAAACAAATAAAAATGAGCATCACCATTTCCAACAAGAAAAACATACCATGACAACAATTATAACTAGATAACTCACCTCATCAGAAAGCACATCATTATTTTTCATTGCAGTAAGCCAAAAATCAGGAACCCCTTTCTCTGCACAAAGCATAATTGCATAAATACCTGTACGCACTTAAAGGAGCTGATGAAAAAAAAAAGGACAAGAATTAATAAGATCATACCTTCGACAGCTTTATCCTCCCCTTGGTCCATGGCTACATCATTTGGTGTTCCTTCGGCTTCACCAACACCATTTACAATATCATATCGCTGCAAATGTATGATAATTAATCAGGCAAAAATCAAAGGTAACTGATTAAAGAAATACGGAAACAGAATTCAAAAGGCATACCTTGGCATACAAGGGTTGATATAATTTCTGATATTTAGCTTCAAGTGCTGCCCTCTCCTCAAAAAATTTAGCCTCTAATTCATCATGGTGACCCTGTTGAAAAAATAGAAGAGCCCAGACCATCAAAATGGTTTTCCACTTCCAACCATATTGCAGCTCAAATAAATTGAAATTGGATTACAACATCTAGTACAGCTCCATGAGAATGGAGAATAACTGTACAGCAAGAACATGCAACTTTATACTCTATCAAAGTAAATCCAATCAAAACTAGCACTGATATTCTTACAAATTCAACAAATTGAGTAATCTTAAACATCCAAGGACACTCAAGTTTCTTAGTTATGAAGGTAAATCCGACCTCGAATTCGATTAATATGACAAAAACAAATTAAAACAAGAGTAATATCATAGCAACATTACAAAGCACAGTAACAAACAAGCTTAGCAAGAGAGAAAATACCTGGATCTCCCTGAGAACCTCCACACGCTTCCTGACATTAGGAGACAGGCTCTCCAGAATACCGGTGTGCTCCCCAGCAAGATTCTGAAGTTTATTCTGCAAACCACAATATCAAAATACTAAAACACAGTAAAAGAAACAAAAAAAAAAGGAAGAAATTTCTGGGAGTCACCGACCTTGAGAGCGTTAACAAGGCCAGCTCGAGCTTCCTCGTTAAGAGCTGCAACCAAGATTTAAAAAAAAATTTGAAAAAAAAAAGTGAAGCGATAGAGGTAGTGTTTTGGAGGAGAAAGAGATTACCATCGCCGAGATCAGGCATGTTGAAGTCAATCCCTTTGTTGGTCATTGAGGATTGTTTGAAGAGCAGAAAAGGAAAGAACTGATTGGAGAAAGGAAGGGCCAAAACCCTATATTAGAGAGTGTGGAGGGTAAAGATGAAGGGAAGGGGGATGGAGTGAGAGGCGTATAAAGAAGACGTGAAACCTCGCTTCAAATCCTCTCCCTTTCCTTATAAAACCTAAACTCCCCTGAAACGATAGTCCTTTTTATTGCTGAGGCGGCAGACAAGGCTAGCAAAGCACCCCCTATTTCTTTTTCGATATAGGGTTTCGCTTTTTGTTTGGTTTTTTTTTTTTTTTTTCTGTTGAATATACCGCGTCACTTCAGTTATTTTATTTTGTTTTATAAATATCGTACGTTCAATAACGTGAAAAATGTAAACAATTCTTCTTTTAAGTGATTTTTTTTTTCTGGGATACTCTAAATATGACAGAATGGTTTAGAATTCAAAACTCTATAGGAAATTTTGATTTTTTAGATATTTGAATTTCAATTTCGCCTGACGCGCCCATAATCTTTTTACGGCTCTTCTCTGCCAATCGTACCAAAGGTTGATATTTAATTTTAAAATAAAATTTTGCAATAATAAAATAATTTTATTTTTATACATTAATAATATTTTTTTATTAATGAAATTAATAATTCAATTGTAAGTAAATATGATAATTTTCATATCAACAGAGACACCTGTCAAAATGCTACTATATTTAAAAATAAAAAAATAATTAATATATTTAATGTTATACCATTTTTTTTTATAAAAAAATAACTTTTATCCCAATAAACATATATATTCTCCCCACATTTAACTTTGCGAATGACTTTAATAATTGTTCAACAAACATTGGATCCAACAATTTCTTCATATTTATTACAATAATAATATATTTATGTCTCCAAATCTTTAATTTAATATTTAAAAACGTTTAAAAAAATATCAAAATTTTAATTTTTAGTTAAATTTTTATTTTTTCTCTTACTTATATTAAAATTTTATCCTTTTGATATAATAAAAAATAATAATAATAATACATTTACAACTAGTGTACACTGAAAGTTACATGGGAATGCAGGCAAGTTTAATTACCTACGTTACAATTTCCTATAAGGTTTAATGAAGGGATTTTATGTCCACTCCACCAATTCCGGTCCCCACTGGCTGAGTTGAGTGGATATGGTGTTAGATTTGCATTTAAAAATTTTGATATTTAAAGTTTAGATCGAGTTCAACTCATAATTTATTTGAATTATTTGAATTCAATTAGATAAATTTAATAAAATATTATATTTTTATTATTTATTTATAATTTTATGTTGAATATATTTAAAAATTAAAAAATATGATTAAATTCATAAAATCATATATTAAAATACTTACTTAATTCAACTCATTAATTGAATCGCTCAAAATTAAATTAAGCTCAACAGCAGATAAATCAAGTTAGAATCTTCATCTAGTTTTGCCTAATAACTCACAAATAATTTAACTTATTTATATTTTTACCCATTCTCAAGGTTGCCAATATTTTTGTAAAAAATATTATTTTAGATGCCGATTATAAAAATTTTAACTTACTTAAAAAGATTACGATTATCGTATTTTCATTTAATAATTTATTAATCTTCATAAATATACAATTATACACCAATAAAACATGTGCCAATCAACTCTTTAATTATTTTTTTGTAATTTAAAATTTTCATTGTTAATATATAAAATAAATTATATTTAATTTGTGGAATGCACCATATAATTTTATTTTTTTCATGTGTATATATATATATATATTAGTAATTTTTAAAATTATATACAAAATCTTAAAATTTATATAAATAAAATTTTATATATGATTAACTTGTCATAATTTTTTTAAATAAGAAGAAAATGATATATCTTTACTTTACAACATTTTAATTTGTAAACATATTTATACATCTAAATTTTATATCAGACAAAAATAAATTAGATGTTATTGTTTAAAAGAACAAAAACATATATATTATTAAATGATGAATTAAATAATAACAAGTTATAGTCATACTTTCACTTTTGTAATATTGTTTAAATTACTATATAAAATATGAAAAATGTTAGAAAATGTGAGAAAAAATAATTTGAAAAAAAAATTAATATCATGAAAATAACCTTACAATAATAATAGAATATATTTTAGAAAAAGAAATATGCAAACCGAAAAAATAAATTATAATAGTAATAAAATTCTAAAAAGTTACAAACTAAAAAATAAAAAAAAAATGATATAACACATTATAGATGTGTATAGTATACAAAATTATGATAGGATAAGATAAGATGATATTATAAATACGATTAAATTAAATAATGTTATCTTATCTTATGTTTTATGTGTAATAATTATAATAAGATAATTTATTTATCAGTCAAAATTATATTTTATTAAAATTTATATAATTTAAATAATTGATGTAATTTTTAAATGTACAATAGAACATGTAAATTTAATCCTATTGATTAAAAATAATTTTCTCTATTTCGGAATAATTGAATCATCTTATACTAATAAGATAATTAATATTTCTTATAACATTCATCTGATATAAATTAAACATAATATAGATTGATTATTATCTTATCCTATCCATCATTTTATATATCAAATATGACCCATATTTATAATTTTTAATTTATAGAATAACTTTTGGATGACATTTAAGATTGAATAAATAAATTTCAAATTGATATTTAAAAGAAAATAAAAAGGATATAATAAGTAAAAAAATTAAATAAAAAAATTTACCTATTGTTTAAATATAAAATTGATAGTTAAACTTCAAATGGATATATATCTTATTATTTAAAGATTTAATATGAAAATTTTATTCAAATTTTCAATATTTGATGTAATTTGTTTGTAAAGATAAATTTTGGTTGATTATAAATTAAGATAAGAAAATATAGTCAGCTTTTAAAAGATTAGAAAAGCTTAATATTTATAGGTTTAAAATACTGTGAAAAATTTTCATATTTAAATAATTTATAAAACAAAGTTATCTAATAAAAAATTAAAATTATTCGAATAAAATTAATATTTCAAAGTTTTAATTTTAAAAAAATTATATTAATTTGCTTTGCAATTATAATTTAAATAATTTTGATATTTGAATAAGTTCAAAACTATCCAACTTGTAATTAAAAGAAACTATGATCTTTAAACTTGTTAAATGTCTCTCTCTCTCTCTCTCTCTCTCTATATATATATATATATATATATATATATATATATATGATTTTATTGATGGAGACTATATTATGTTTAAGAACGGATGACCGCAAATGTGTTCACTTCCAGCTTTCAGCAGAGTTCACACACAATCTACTTCCCCAGGCAAACCTTTTGATATGAAGCATCTGATCCACCTGATAATAAATCAGCAGTTGTACTACCCAAGCTCCAAGCACCTTATTATGCAAATATCTTCAGTAAAATCGAGTTTGGACTCGCTGGTGTCATGCACATAATATAAGCTAATATAAGCTAGTACTATTGAGAACCACACAACTCAGCAATAAGAACTGAAGATCGTTATGTGAATCATGTACCAGCAACAAGAAATAATAAAACAAGATTGTGGTGTGGATGGTGACATTAGGAACAGAGGTATGCTCTGAAGGTAACAAGTCTGAAATTCGTTCCCCAATCTAAAGAGAATTCAATACTTGTCATGGAATCACATTAAATAGACCTAATCTGACTTCTATGCAGGGCCACCGGAATCAATATCTGGATGTAAGCTGCATCTTCCACAGAAGGCAAATGTTGCTTTTAAGGCAACAACACTTCAAATCATTCAATATAAATCCACATGACAGCCCCTTCCTAACATAGTTCTTATCCTCATAAACTGCAGAATGAGGAGTTTTATGGGATGTTTAAAATTTCATGTGGAATTTGCTCCATCAGCAGCCTTATCTCCACCACCATTTTGTTAGTTAGCAGTAGCTGGTTTCTCCACATTCAAAAAACGGCCTGTCATAGGATCAACAGGATGCATGTCACGCGGTCCACCCTTGCGTCCCATTGCCACCATGGGTGGTGGGGGCAATAATCCAGCTCTGAAAAGAATGCGTTGGACTGGTTCTGAAGGCTGTGCACCGACTGATAGCCAGTACCTACAAAAAGCAATGAAAATAGAAGTTTATCTATATTGGATGGTTTCACTGCCAAATAGTAGAACAAGTCTATGTTAGTTGCGAATCTCATGCAAAAGTCATTCATCATTCATCTCCACAAGTATACAAAATTATTAGTACAAATCAGGTACAATTTTTTTTGTCTTTCTACAAAACTTAACAGTATTGAACAAGCAAAGGATACTAAGCATTCAATTATATTAATACGAGGAACTAGAAAAAGCCACTATCCTAATATAAACAAAAATGCTGACTTATAACTAGTTCTTGCTTTCAAAAAATTGCCACATCCCATGAACTAATTCTATGTTAGTGTGGTTGCTGGTTTATACCAATGTACAGATCAAGTAATTAGAGTAAATCTCTGAAATTGAGATAATTCTAGCTACACTGCATCCAGTTTGCAGCAACTACAATATACTCCTCCAATGCAACTTCTCCCTATAGTTCTCACAGCTTCAGGGAATCTCCTTTGGTACAGTAATGCAGTAAAAACTATGCAAATATAACAGCTATGGGCACCGCAAATAGTTATTACCTAGCATATCCTCTTCAAGTATTTCATATCAATTTTTCAAAAATATAATTATTTGCGGCTCATATTCTGCAAATATCGATTGCCTAGTTGGATGCAGAGACGGCTCTTCTTCCGATGGTCCAACCTGAAAGCATTTCTCCCTCACTAATCCTTTCATTCCCTATCTCTTGATAACAATGTATTAATTCAGAAGATTTCTTTATAAATAGTCATACTTTCCTATGATATAAGCCAACTCTCCCCTTCTCCTCCAGGAAACTCAAAGCCGGCTATTTCTCTCATCAAACTCCAACTATCAAGGTAGATGCAAGCAATAAACACTTGTTTCTGTAAAACTAAAATTTTAAAACACTATTCACTATAGCAATGCTACTAATTGATCCCATGGCCTTTCCAATCTTCCATACCTTAAGAATTCAGTAATTCGGAACGAAACAGGGACGATACCGCAGCAGAAACGGACTTATCATTCTCAACAATGAAAAATAGATAAAGAAATTGTAAAAACTAACATCATAACATAACCATAACAGAAAAGTAACATCTCCAACTGCAAAAATGTAGAATTTATGACAAAAATATAAAGAATAGAGTAAAAGAAAGCAGCTTACTTCACTCTTTCAAAGTTAAGACCCATTCGTTTACCCCCATCTTGGCCTGTACAAAAGAAACAGATAAAATGGAAACGTATTAGCAATTCGCTAACTCAATTAGCTGCCTTTTGATGAAAAAAAAATTGGCCATCATAGATTAATAGGAAGAGAAGGAGGAAGATGACCAGGCAAAGGATTGTAGTAACCAAGGATTTCGAGATGCTTCCCATCTCTTGGAGATCGGCTATTGGCAGCCATCACCCTATAGAATGGCTTGTTTTTGCATCCGAACCTCGACAACCGGATCCTTACCACCATTTTTTTTTTCTCTCACTCTTCAATCACCAGTTTAACTCACAGCACTGCTTAGCTAGGGTTTTAGGGTTTGCTCTGTCTCTGCCTTTTTTTTTTTTCCAAAAAGGGTCGAACTTGAAGCGTTTAACTCTAACCGCACCTTCAGACTGCTTTACTTAATGAAACGACCTCGTTCCATTAACCCACCAACGATAGCGAAAGCGTTTCATGACCCGGGAAAGCCCGGCGGTGAGGAAAATAAAAAATAAATAAATAAAGAGGTTTAAATTTTTCAAGACAAAAAAAATCTTCAGTAGGGTTTTGCGTTTGCGGTAAGTCTGAGAGAGGGAGTTCCAAGTTGGTTTTTGGGGGAAAGAGAAAATGGAGGAACCGCAAGAGCCAGGCCCAGGCGTGGGAGCTCCCTTTTCGTTCCCTCCTCATCGCCGATCACATCTCAGGAGTGGAACTTACCGCAATCTGGTTCGACTTATATCCCTTTGCTATGGCGATTCTCCACTAGCCACTGCCCCTCCCATTATTCCTCTTCCCCAAACACCGGGTATATGCGTATTTGAATTCTTCAGATTTCTCTGTTACTTCTTCATTTCTCAAAATTCTTTTAAAGTTTAAAAGAGGTTAATTGAATTAAAAAGAAAAGGAGTCTTTCATTACTAGTTTGGTAAAGAAATTAGGGTTTAGGGTTTATCGTTCATTCTATTCTTCATTTAGACAAATAAAATCCTGCTTGCCTAAATGAATACCCTTAAAATCCTTCAATATTTAGGTTCGGTAACTTTTTTCTTATTGTTGATATTGCTTTTGTTGAAGAAAATGGTAGTAACCAAGGTGAACCTGGTGGAGATGATGCCAGAGATCCTGGTGGGTCGATTGTCTTAGACAATAGGGAGCCTGCAAATATGGTGGCTCAGGAAGGAAAGGCGGTTGATGGAGGTTTTGAAGGTGCTGTTTTCCGGGACAGGGGATTTAGTGACACACAAATGGTAATAGATGAAATTGAGCAGATAATGCAAGTAGAAGGTCAGGATTTATTGAATCAAAATGATCTGATGGTTAATAGTGACATGGAAGCCACTAGATTTCGAGATGGAGAGATTGGTCGGGAACAAATGCTAATGACTGAGTTAGAAAACATCATGAAAGGAAATGAAGATTGTGATAAGAGTAGTAACTGCTTGACTACATCATTTGACTGGAACGGGGGTGATAATTGTGTGGGCGTATCAGTGACTAATCAAGAAGAGCATGATGATCATCCACCTGTTGTTATGGAAGAATCTGGTACAGTTGGTCAACCACAAGTAGACATGGAGGGTGGTAATACAAAGATTATTGAAGCCTTTGGTTTTTCTTCAGACAAAAGCATGACGGTTGAAGTTTCAAAATCAAGTGAGAAGGTTGAAGATCAGAGTTCCTTGTCGAAGACTAATGCAACGTGTGAAAAAATTGAAATTCAGCAAAAAGAGATGGAATTGGAGAAGTTTGTTTGCTCTAATGACAGACTGGCTTCTCCTGGTCATATGGTTGAAGATGGAGAACTTGAAGAGGGAGAAATTTTTGGCGACATTCAGCTTGTCAATGATTCAGTTGATACACTCTTAGACAATGCTGTAGTATCAGAAAAGAAGGTAGAGGAGAAGCAAGTTTCTGTAGGCGCCTTTGATGATAAACATCTTCATTGTAATGAAGAAAGCAAAGATGATGATAAAGATCCTGAATTTACTTCCTTTAATACAAATGTTGCTCGGATTGCCAATAGAGTCACAGAAGGAGAACTTGAAGGAAGTGAGAGAGATCAGATGGTGTTTGAACTTGGAACGACGCCCAGAAAGGAAGGTAGTGGAAATATCCAAAAGCAAATTGGAAGCAGCAATCAAGCAATTAAAGCTAACAAGAAGGTATGATTCTAACCTGCAATTGAGGCCATTTGCAATTATGAATTTGTTTAGTTAGGTTTGGTAACATCTACCAGCACTGGCTTCTTCATGAGTTGCCTTTGATGGAGTTTTCTCTATTATAATAAGTTGATGCCACTGTGATTTTCTTTGGAATGACTTTCAAAGAGTTCGTCTAGCATCAACGTAAGAATTGACATATTGTTGGGCTTAGCCCAATGTAGAGTTTATTTGGGCTTTCTAACCCTCATTTTACCCAAAAAAAAAAAAGGAATTTGACACACGGTACGTTAGGTCATAATTTTGTGGCTATCTTTTGCTACAAGATGACCTGAGCTTTTCATAGATTTCCGCCTTTGCATTGCGCTTTCACAATTTTCCAATTGACTGGACTACCTTTTTTTGTCTTGTGAGGCTTCATGACATCAGATGCCAAATTTAAAGATATACATTTTGCTTTCATGTTTAGACAATTTATCTTTCATTAGCCAATATATCCTATTTTAGTTTCTAGGACTGGTGCAACTAATAGATAATTTGTCAAAAGTACAAGAGCAAACCATGTGCACCTATCTGTGTCTCTCCCTTTCTCACATGTTCATATGTATGCACATACAAGCAACTACATATACATGGACCAAAAGACATGAAATGCATTCAATTGAGTCTACCCGTAATCTTTCTCCGAAATGTCTGTGAGAGCCTAGGCACTAGGTCGTCATATAGAATTAATTTGTCATGATGGAATTGGTATGCAAGTTCTGACATATGACCAGTATTGTTTCCTCCTATCATATGCAGAAGGATGTTGGTGTCTGCAATAAGAAAAAGCAGAGTCCAATTCCTACAGAGAAGAAAGAAAAGAAAAAGGTACTCAGTATGTCTCTTTATTTTTGAATTTTTAAATGAATTCTTATTATGTAACTTTAAAGCTCACGGTGCAAGTCAATTCCAGTGCAAATCGAAGTTGCACTTATGTACTCATCTATGAATTATTTTAAATGTTTTCCATACAAAAGTTCTGACAACTGTATTTGCTATAAATGCTCTTCAAATGTACAAATGATTTACTTGTTATGGTTCTATTGTGCAGAAAAATAAACGAAAGAAACGAGCAGAGAGAAACCGACAGCTTGGTGTTAAAAGGTTGAAACTGCAGACAGTTCTGAAACCAAAAACTGTAACTTATTGTCGCCATTATCTGAAGGGAAGATGCTATGAGGTTATACTATTTTTAATTTTTTCCTTGTTTAATATTTATACTGTTTTAAAAATATTTCTAGAGTTTCACCTTAAGCTTCTTTTGCTGGAGACCTTAGTTATCTGATAATAGCTAACTTGACTTAGAAATTTAATTAATTGCTTTGTTCTTATTTACAATCTTTAACTGTTCCTGCTTTTTCTATGCTGCAAAAGGTTTTCTTGAGTTCATCTGACTGAGTTTCTAGTTTGTGGATTATTATATCATGCTATGTTATTTTGCTAGAGTGAGTCCCTAACCCTTTATGGATTCAAGGCTATTCCCTTTATAATGTTCATAAACATTTGGTATTTGATTTTGTTGACTCAAATGTGTGTAGTAGAGGAAGGGGATTGGAAGGACTACAATTGAGGATGTGGTTATCCCACAAAATTCTTGGCAGAGATTGGTAGTATTCTAGGATGGAATGGTGAAAAAATATAGATGGAAGTGGGGAAAATGGAAACGAAATATATGTTTTTGTTTCTTTGATTTAACTGAATAAAGTTGCTCAAATCTGTATTCTTCATTGATTTGGTATCAAATTGTCTAATATCTTTTTTTCCTCATAGGGCGAGAAGTGCAAATACTCACATGATACGGTGCCTTTGACAAAATCTCAGGTATGGTCATTTGGTTTGGTATCTTGTTTACATTATGCAAGTTGCTAAATTCTATTATAATTCATTTTTCGGTTGGCTGCCACTATTACCTATACAGGTTGCGCAACTATTGTTTGTTAGATTTACTTATGATGAATTGGTTTATAGATTGTTGCTATTGCTAGTTACTATTGGCGACACCATCTGTAATTCTGTTCATTTCACATCATTTTAGTAAAGAATCTGTAACAACTACAAAGCATTCCTAATAGATGAGTAACTTAGATTTTTGTGTCATTTCATTCTTTTTTGAGCTATGATGTTTATTTCTCTTCTGTCTTTCTGCGCGTACGTTTTTCTGATCGTGTCTTTGATTCTATTGTTGCAGCCCTGCAGTCATTTTGCACGTCACTCGTGCTTGAAAGGGGATGAGTGTCCGTTTGATCACCAGCTGTCCAAGTATCCCTGTATCAATTATATGACCAAAGGCTTCTGTGGCAGAGGTGATGATTGTTTGTTTTCACACAAGGTAACCTTGTTTCTACTAAAAAAAGCTACATTCTCAGTTGATTTGGGGTGGGTGATAACCTATTTTCATTTCAGATGTCACCAGCGGGAGATGGTGCATCTTTATCAAATGCTCATGAACTTCAACCGAAGCCATCATTACAGGGTGATTCTGATATGAGACTGAATATCGGCAGAACTTCCCATAAGAATGTTGATGCCTCATCCTGTTCTGTAGGAGCTGTTTCTCATAAAAGCAAAAAACAAATTGTGGCAGAGACTCCAACTAAAACACCTGATCTTGCATGTAAAGGTGTCAACTCTCTTTTTGTTTCAAAATCATCTATGGTTGAATCAAGTAAACTTAATCAAGGCAGCTCATCTCAAAAGATCAATGAAAGTGGCAGAGTTGGGATTCAAAGTATTCAAAGCACATTAGGTGTCAATAGTCCTTTTGCTTCAAAGCCATCTGTGGCTGATTCAAGTAAGTTTAGCCAAGGTAGGTCATCTCTGAAGATGAACGAGAGTGGCAGACTTGGGATTCAGGCCAATCAAAGTGAATTGGGCACAATTCAAAATGTGAATGATAGTCCAAAGAGAAAGACAGAAGTGGTACCGAGGGGTATAAATTTTCTATCATTTGGAAAATCATCATTAGAGGATTCCAATAGCAAAGTTAGTTTTGCATTAAATAGGGCAGATGGGTATAAGCAACATCCCAGTGAGAATGAAGGCAATAGAGGTAAACTCAGCAACCAGACAACCCAAAGTACATCAAGTACAGATCAAAAGAAAACTCATCCAGTCCTGCTGCCTCCGGGAATAAATCTTCTCTCTTTGGGAAAACCGGGTATCTCTGGAAGTGGCTTGCCTTGCAGTTCAGATAATGTTAACAATGGATCTCTTCAGAAGAGTAATTATGCAGCTGATAAACAACATAACTCAAGTGCAATATCATCTAAGTTGTCAATTTCTCCACAAACTTCAGGTCAATTCTCAGAGTGGTTAGCACATAAAAACGCACCAAATTCAGCTCAGAAGTCGCTCATTTCTACTCTAGCAGTTGCGAAAAAGTTTGATAATACCAAGGGTAGATCTGTTCATGAAAGCCAACATATGTCTGATAAACAATACAACTCTAATGCAAACCCATGGAAGATGCCAGCTTCCTCGCTCGCTACAAGTCAATCTTCAGAGAAGATGACACCTAAAAACACACCAAACTCAGCTCAGAAGGCACTGATGTCTACTCTAGCAGTTGCAGCAAAGCTTGAGTCTGGAATGATGAAAAATCAGTCTCCTGTCAGTTCTGCGGTTAATAGTGAAATAAGGGATGGCAGAATTGGTGAAGGTTCAAAAACTGACTCAGCAAAAACTTCAAAGATTTTGGATATTTTGTGTAGTCTTAGCAGCAAAATAAAGCATACATGATTGCTGACTTTATAATGGTTAATATGACTAAAGCATTGGAAAAAAATGGGATTTAGTTTTGAGGGTTGGGGTGGGATGATGGATACTGTTTACGTAAATGAGAATTGATTAAATCTTTTAAGAGAAAAGGCAGGTTAGTGGTGTCTGTAGTTCTGCCATTATATAGCATTCATTTATTTATTTTCAGCACCAGTCAAGCAGTTGAAGCATTTAATAAGTTTCATTAGTTTCTGCTGTCGATTAACAGGGTAGAGGCCAACTGTTGAGCATAATAATTCATGGTCTGGGCGGGTTATCATCGCTGTGGCTTTACCAATTAGAGGTGAAATACTTCTTTTCCCTGGGAATTTACGAGTCTTTATCTTCCTACTTCTTACTCCAAATCCTAAATCTGGGATGCTGCCAGTAATATTGCCAGGTGCTAAAACCAATGAGATTAGTTCTGGAAGTTAGCAGCTTAAGAATCTCAAATTTCGTTGATCTGGGTTGACTAAAATATCTGTAACACCAGTGGTCAGGGGGCACTTATACTTTGCTAAATAGGAGTGATGGAAAAAGGTGAGGGTGAAAATTTTGATAATTTAATGGTTAAAATTTATAATCACTTTTCTAATTTATAACTCTATCTTTTAGTAAATATGGAGTCAACCACTTCATTCTGAAGGAAAACTAGGAAAGTTGCGGTAGGGATCTCTTATCATTCAATTTGAATTTTTCCAGCGAAAGAATATCTTTATTCTCTCTTGGCTTCAAGCCAGTGGTTTGCAGGTTCTCAAGATCTTCATATATTCTGAGCAGTTGAGACCAAAGATGTATTATTGAAATGGAAAGATTTAGAAGAAGTTTTTTGGGTGAAGCTTTTTGAAGTTTTTTATTAGAAATGATTAAATTAAAATTAAAATTAAAAATTAAAATCAATAAATTAAAATTTTTTGTTACATAAATTGTGTAAAATTTAAAAAAAATTTATATATTTTTTAGATAAATATTTTTATTAAAATATTAATAAAAATTTTATTATTAAATAAATATAGATCAAATTTGAATTATAAATGATTTTTTTAATGATTTTTTTTATATATTATTTATTTTCATATCGAATTATATGAATCTATTAATTTAAAATTTTTATTAAATTATTTTTTTAAGAAAATTTAAAATTTTCACTTAAAAATTTTCATATAAAATTTGTCCAAAAACTAAGGATCTATCACTTTTCAAAGGATGCAGGCTAATAGTCCAAGTTGTCTTCGAACTAATGAAGGTGGTAGAAAGTTTGTGTGTTATTGTTCTCTGGTTCAGGAACCAAAAATTAAATTTGATACGCACCAATACTAATACTGTGTTTGGATTGAGGGGAGAGAAAGAAAGGAAAAGTAAAGCAAAGGAAAATGAAGGAAACAAATTTTTTTTTTTTTTTTTTGTTTAGATAAATATTTAATTTAAAGAAAAGAAAAAGATGGAAATCAAATAATTTTTAATTTTTTTTATAAATTTAATTTTTTTAATATTCCAATTTGAAGTAAAAGTTAGGGAAAAGAAAGTTGAAATTTTTTTTTATAAAAAGATTATTATATTTATTTTTTATTAATACTAAAATTTAATTAAAAAAATATAAACAAATTATAATTATCTTATAATTTTTTTAAAGCTATATTTTTTTTCAAGTAAGTTTCATATATATTTTTTAATATAAAATTTTTTTATAATTTTTTGATGATTTGATTTTGATGAATAGTTAAATATAAATAGATATATTTTTTAAATTTATGAGATATCAGACTAATTTAAAATTCATTAATGCATATTTATAAAATATCTTCTTATTTTACTTATTTAAAAACTATTGATATAATAGCAATTGTAAAAACAAATAAGATAATAAATATATTATGATCCAAAAATATTTTAAAATTACAAACAATGAAAGTTATAATTAAAAAAAATTATTATAATGCATCGTTTCTTTTTTTTTTACTTTTTATTTAAATAATAATTGTTAGAATTTTTTTTATTAATTTTAATTATTCAAATAATGATTATATGTATTTTTTAAAATATTTCATTTTATTTTTATTAATATTTATTCAAATATAGTGTAAAATAGTTATTTGAATTATGTTCAGTTGAGTGCATGTGAAAGATTCTAATTACTGGTATATAGTTGATAATTCTACCCTGTATGGGAGTGGAGTGCATGGATCAGGGATGGTGGTGATAATTTAGAGTTGTCACCATCACTTCTCAAAGGATACCGAAAATCACGATAGAATCGAGAAAGTTATACTTTAGTTGATGAAACTGAGACAAATTCCATTCATCTGTCATCCCAAGTTATACTTAGCTGATGAAACTAATCGCTTGCCCTATCTCTTTGTCAGAATCCCCCATTACACATTTCATCATCTTCTTTTTTTCAATCACTAGTTTATACATTCATTTGTATGCAGTTCTTGGAAAAGGTGACAGAAGATGCAGATGATGATCTAGAATTTAAAGCACTACAAGAGGAATTTGTGAGTTGGACTTGTCCTTTATATAAAATCTTTTCTTCTTCAAGTGCTTATTCGGTTTTATCTTCTTGGAATGGCAGGTTGCTGTAACTCATCTTTATCTTCGACCGATCAATCAGGATTGAAACCTTGGTTTGAGTTCCGTGTAATATGCAGTCCCTTTTTCTCATTTTAATTTATATCTTGGCGTGTTGCTGTGCGGTGAAAATTGCCTGGTAACTCACTATCAAAATACTTATTTGTTTTGAGGTAGCATTTTATTTTTTAATTTAATAGTTAAAATTTATTTTTGGACTGAAACTAGACATATAAAACATTAAGAGACAGAGCGAGGTCGCGGAAAAATCATCATCAATTAAAGATTTGGAAAAAGAGGTATTTGAAAGAGTCCATGCCCAGTCGGTCTGCCTATCCATTTGCCACTTGGTGAGTAATGGGCACAGTTAAATCTCCTTTTTCCGAATCTAACGAGTAATTCAATCAATTTATATTATCGATAATAATAGATGATATTTGATAAATTTAAATTTTAAATTTTAATAATTATAATTATTGTATTTTCTACTGTGAATTCGTTTGTTAAATAATCTCTTCATTTTCATACATCCCAGTTGTTAGAAACAAATTCCGCACCTTTCCCTTTTGCTAATAAATATATTTTTCTTAAAAATCTTTAAATATTTAAAAGAAAAAGACAACTTTCTTTTCTGACAAGTATATAAGCACACACCAACAGAGCCAAGAGAAAATCTGGCCAACAAACTCACCAATAGGTGATAGACAGGGGTGTAGAAATTATTAATTCGATAGGTTGGATTTGAAAAAATTAATAATTATTTTATTTTATTTTTATTTAATAAATAATTAAATTAATTAAATATTATTAAATAATCGATTATAATTAAATTAATTAATTCAGTTCGATTAATTTAATTAAATAATTAAATTTTTATTATAAATAATTATTTAATTATAAATTTAATTTAATAAAATTTAAATTTTAATATTATTCAAATTAAATTATTAAAAAATTTAATAATTTTAACAATATTTTACAAAATAAATAAATAAATATATTTATCTTAATTTTTTATTTTTAATTATTAAAAAATTAATTAATTCGATCAGTATGATTATCAATTTTAAAAATAAAAAATTGATCGAATTAATCAATTTAATCGATTTAAAAAATTAATTATAACTAAAATTAAATAAATTAAATCAATTCAATTAAATTTACTCGATTTTGATTAATTTAATCTATTCAAACTGACTTTTATTTATCCTGTAATAGAATATCAAAACAGTATCGTTTAGCTAAATTCAATTCTTAATTAAAAAAATACTTTAGCTTAAACATGCAGAAATAAGGGGACTGACGAATTTGTGATACTTTAACGTACCACCGAGACTTAGCTTACTTTTCCGAATAAAATATTAAGTAAACTGAAATTCATGATTCATAATTAGAGGAGCAAATTCAGCCTCCATCAACCACCAACCCTTCCAACTGCCACTCGGTCATTGGTGCCACCTGTAAGGCTCCCAACCCCCTCGCTTTAAAGCTTTGCACCGCACCACTCGATAAGGTGGCACAACGGTATTGGCTGAGTTTTGTAAACCATTTCTCAACAAAAGAAGAACTACACAATGTTTTTCTTTCCAAAAAAAAAAAAGAGAACGAAATTAATGCTTTTTGTTGTCGAACCCCAAAAACGGACAAAGGAAAGTACACTTTAATGTAGAGGAATGCCGACACGCGGCAATCATGCAGAGGGAAGACAAACGCTTGTCGCGTAGCCACCGCATGATCTTGTCCATCCATAATCCCCCACGAGAAGATCCAACGGCTACGAGAAGCCATTGCACGGTGAAGATTTGTAGATAACATCAAAACAACATTTATCAGCGTCACTCCAACAATTCAACAAACAAGAATTTCCATTTCCTCACAAAACGACATTAAACTCACCGTTTGCCTTCTCTATTCATCCACGTCGCCTCACCATATTGGGTAAACATGGATCAAGAAAGGGTTGGATATGTAAATAAAAGAAAATATGGGGTTCAGATTAGGTGGACAAAAGAAAAGGATAGCTACAAATGGCAAAGAAGGAAGAAAAGCAATGAAACGTGGCAATATCATTTGGACACGATATATTTTCTGCTCAGAAGAATGTCAATTTCATCTCCATATTTCTATCCCTATGTCTTTCTTCATTCCTGCCGTACCCATTTTTTAAACCTCTAACAAAAAAAAAAAAAAACAAAGAAAATGATGGTGCCTGACAATGGTGGAGGTGGAGAAGGCTTTGGTTTGAGCTACACGATGGCGTTTCTGAAAGAATCGAAGATAATGGAAGGTGAACCAGAAAATGGGAATAAGAAAGAGTTAAATATTGTAGTAAAGGAAGAGCCAGTGGCGGCTGCTGCAGCAACAGAAATTAGAAGGGCCACTACTTGCGGCGGAGAAGATGATCAGGAGGCTTTGTTAAAAGCAGTTAAAGAGGAAGACGATGAGGAAATGGGAGTCGTTGATGATATGATGAACTGCGGAGATTGCAACAACATCAGTAACAATGGGTCGTTCTCTTCGAGTTCGTGGGATGTTTTGCCAAAGCCAATAGAAGGGTTACATGAGTCGGGTCCTCCGCCGTTTTTGAGAAAAACGTTTGAGATGGTGGAGGATCCAGAAACCGACCCGATTGTTTCCTGGAGTGTTAACCGCAATAGCTTCATCGTTTGGGATTCTCACAAGTTCTCTGAAAATCTCCTGCCCAAATATTTCAAGCACAAGAACTTTTCCAGCTTTATTCGCCAACTCAACACTTATGTAAGAATTTTTACCCCTTTTTTCTTAGTTTGTACTTTTTGACATTTAAAAGCTTTCTTTGTTTTTTTTTTAGGGGTTTAGGAAGATTGATTCAGATAGATGGGAGTTTGCAAATGAAGGGTTTCAAGGAGGAAAGAAGAATTTGCTGAAAAACATTAAGAGGAGAAGTAGATATAATAAGCAGCAACAAGGAAGAGTTATTTCTGCTAATAATTCAACTAGTAATATAGGATTGGAAGATGAGCTTGAGATTTTGAAGAAAGATAAGAGTGCGTTGCAATTGGAAGTTTTGAAACTGGGACAACAACAGGAAGAGTCAAATCATCAGCTGAGTGTTGTTGAAGAGCGGATTCGGTATGTTGAGTGTAGGCAACAACGAATGTGCAATTTCTTTGCTAAAATAGCTAAATATCCCAATTTTATTCAGCACTTAATTCAGAAGAGGAAGCAGCAGAAGAAAGAGCTTGATGAGGGGGAATTTAGCAAGAAAAGGAAATTGCTTAAGACACAAGTAACAAAGAGCTTGCCTGAGGCTATGGGAACTGTCCAAAGAAACCAAGTTGATCAGGAGGGAATGGAATCAATGCAATCTGATGAGTTCTCAAAGTTTGTGCCTGATTGTAAGGCGAAAGAGTTTCCGGTTTCTATGGAGGATGGTTTTTGCTGTTCCCTTCAGGATCAAAAGAGCAGTGCACCAGAAATGCGTTCTGTTTATCATCTAATGTCTGAAAATCTACTAGGTGAAAGCTCAGGTATAGAAAATGTAGCCAATGAAGAGCTATCGGTGAATGATTCCAAGATTTATCTTGAGTTGGAGGATTTGATCAATTGGAAGCCATGTAGCTGGAGTGGATTTGCAAGTGAGCTGGTAGAGCAAACTGGCTGTGTCTGATCCATACCTTTAGTCCTCACACTAAACAAAAGTATACATCTTATGTGCTCTTGTTATATATTAATAATGGTAGTAATAATTATTTAATATGTAGTCTTACTGTAGATGCCATTGGTTGCAGGAAGTGAATGGTAGCAAAGTGTCTTGAGAGCTAAAAATGAATTTACTCTTCCTTGATTATTTGTTGAAGGCTTGAAGCTGATGGCAACAAATGTTGATACCAGTGACATTTTCCCTGTCACAAATGTTCATAGCTTTTTCTTTTCTTTAATTTCTCTTCGTTTGTCCTTTAGGTTGTAAAAACTTCTATCCTATACACTGGTCCTTTTAATATCTATACTGTTTTTATTATCATTCTGCTGCTTCACATCAGGTCGAAATCATAGTGTTACATATTCGATGCTTGGCTATAGTTTGAACTTTGAACTACTAAAAGCTATTCACTGTGATCCTTGAGGAACACGATTCCAGAGCTTGTTTTGATGGTGCTGACGATTCTTTCTATTCTGAATATCCCTTCAAAAAATATATATATATAAAGAGCTAGGACTAGTAATGCTTCCCATCATCTAACAAAGTAAAATACAAGTTTATTTGTAAAAGCCTATTTCATGATTTGATCTTCGCTTGAAGGTTCCAAGCTTTTCAAAGTCTTGGCTGGCGTTAGACTATAATGATTATTAGCCACTTTGCTAAATGCTAAAGCTTTGCCTCTTTTGATCATCATGTGACTAAAAAGTGGTTCGGGTGGTGGCTTTGTTTCCTAAAAGAAGCGAAAGACAAACAATAATAAATAATTAACTAGTTAGTGGTAGTGATGCATGTAGACCCTTTTTAGCATAATCTAAAATCTAATGAGAATTGAGAAGCAGTTGAGCCCACCAAAAATCATGAGCGACTGCAGGAGCAAAAGGATTTGATGCACTGCTCCCTAAAATCCCAAATGCACATCAATTGAATAATCAATTAGTATATTATAATTAAATTATAATAGTTTATAATTAATTAATAAATTAAAATATAATTATATTACTAAATTTATATACAATAGTATTTATCTTTTGCATATCAAGTAATAAATTAAAACATATTTAAATAATTAAATTCATATACAATTCACATATAGTGGCACTCATTTCTTACATAGTCAATTAATAGTTTAGAATATAATTAAATAATTAAATTCATATATAATAATATTCATTTCTAACTTGATTAATTTCAAATAATATCACTTAATAAATAAATAACTCTTCAAATATTATTTAATTAACAGATTTATAATTTTTATAATATGTTAAAGATTTTTAAATTTCATATACTATATTAAATATTTTACTCTAGTTTATGAATCATCTTGATATTAATCTATTTTTTCTTATAATTTTATAATTATTTAATCACAAAAAAAAGAATTATGTATTATTTAAATTTATCACTTATAGATATAAAATTTATAAAATTTTGATAAATCTCTTATAATTTTAAATTATAATCGATTGATTATAATATAATTATTTTAATAGTGTGTTGTCTTTCAAAACAAGGACAGCTAACTTTACAAGCGACATCTGTAGTTCATTGGCACCATTTTCTAAAGCAGGCCTTCTCTGGAGCGATGGAGAAAGGTTTTGATTTTGCGCTTTGGAGTTTCAAGGGTACTGCTTAAAGGGGCTAACTGTAGGCCATTTTGGGCTTCATAAGACTGCTCTACAAAAAACTATTATGCCCAGGTTTTTTTGCCCACCAGGCCATGAAAAGGCTTTTTTTTTTTTTTTTTTTGTAAAGGTAATTTTCAATATTATTGACTCCTATTGATTTTTAGAGAAACTTCACTGACATTGTCTTAAATTCCTAGTGCTTGGATCAACTTGAATTTCAATATTAAACTACAAAAAAAAAAAAAAAGTTTCTCATGTTCCTTACGTCTAATAAGTTTCCATTTGATTTGTATTCCCTCATGATTTAAATGTTTAGAGGTAGGCAAGTCTTTTTTTGGAAAGTTGAAAGGTTGGAAGGCATGATTCAATGTTCATCAAACCGTCCCTTATTTCTCCATTAAAAAGGTTCTCAAAGGAGCTGTTGGTTATCAACTAACACTCCTTTGAGGCGGCTTATTGAAATCGTCAACTCAAATTTTCCTCGATTTCTTCATTTTGTCTTTTAAAATTCTTCGAACATCTCTGTATTTAAAATTTTATTTTGTTTGTTAAAATCCAGTTTTGCTCTCCAGCTCGCTTCCTCACCAGTTTTCCCCACCAGTTTTGCTTTGTTTCATTTTGTCAAAGTAGGAATTTTATCATATGTCTGCTACGTAGAAACAAAAACTCGACACAATTTTTTTTGGTCTAGTCTCGATGCTACAATTTTCTTCGGCATAACTTTCGTGGCTCTTTCTTATTGAATTCCCCCCAAATGAAAAATCAAATATTGAGGATGTGGTATTTTCGCAGCAGAAAAGGGGAAGAAAAACTTTTAAACCAGATTTTGAGTTTGACAATATAAAATTTAAAATTTAAGACATGTTTGATAATAATATTTTAATATACCCTTATCGCTTATAAATGTAACTATCATGTAATAATTGTAAAAAATATATATAAGACAAAAATCATAAAATAGAATATGAATTTTGATAACACGTTAAAGATGTATTTTAATATTTAATAATAACAAGTAAAAAAAAATTAAATTAAATATAAAATCATAAAAAAATTTGCAATAACGGTACTTTAACAAAATTATTATACAAATATAATGTTTTTTTAACATTAATTTGATGCTGACTGATGAATAATTTGATATGTAAGTCCTATTATTGAGAAGGGAAGAAGAAAATTATAGTGACGGTATCCAAATTAAAATTTTTAATTAGAATTCAATTTCAAGTTATACATAGTGCAGGTGATCGTGTAATTTTAATTATTTATATCCTTGTACTTAATTGTACAAATGATAAACTATATATGCCAAACGTGCAACAAATAAAAAACTAAATATGGTAGCTATAAAAATAAATAAATAAATCTATAAAAATAAGGCTCACATGTCAGTACGTCACTATAGGCGACGGCTCACCAACCCTGACATGATAGCTATGGGGAAACCACGGCGCTGGAGCATTTCTATTTTTCCCATTTGAACTCAACATTATTTTGTGAATTCACTAATTAATTTCTTGCAAAGTATAGTAAATATGCTTCGCTTCCACTCTCCTGTCTTTGTTAAGGCCACAGAAAAATGTTTTCTAGAAATGAAAAACACAGATAAACGAGAATAGACAAATTTAATATTAATTATAAAATAATTTATTTATAAATATTAAATTTTTTATTTTTTATTTTTGTAATCACAAATACAAAAGAACAAAAATATAATTTGATTTTACATTATTTGTTTAAAATCAGTGGCTCTGCTTTTATCTCATGAATCATTTGCAACAAAATAAATCGTGCTTATAAAAAACTTATATAAAAAATATGAATTAATCAATGAATCAAAACATAATTGGATATATAAATATAATATAAAAATAAATTAACGGTAGTTGTATGTAAATGTGAATAACGCTTGCGCTAGATCTTGTTTGATTGGTTATAAGAATTTAGGTCAAAATTTTAATTTTTTTTAAAATTATTTTGATCATTAAATCAAATAATTAAAAATAAAATTTTGATGTTATGTCATTAAAACTTTGATATATTATTATTATTATTATTATTATTATTATTATGATTTTTCCTTTAATTTGACAACTGGAAAAATGTTAGTCAATGTTTAACAATACTGATTAAAATAATATCAAAAAGCATTCCTACCTCTTGAATTTAATAAAGTCATATATTTAATGCAATTTTTAAAAAACAATATTAAATTAATTATTTTTAGGAAACAGCTAGCTATAAAAATAATTCAAATGTGTTTTTTTTCTTTCTCTTTGGATCAAATTTTGGGTTTGGCCTCGGGAAAAGGGAAAAGAAAAAAATAAAGTTGAAAAGCCAATCAATCACAGACTGGTTGACGTTCTTGATTTTTGACCAATATGTTTAGTTTGATTTTGACCCACGTACTGTTACTACTGTGCATTGATTTTCGACAAGGACATTCTCAGCTTTTACAAGCCATTAAGCTAATTGGGGTCCAGCTATGACCCCAGTTCCCATCCTGCTTACCTTTCGTCAACAAATCATATCATCATAATATATATAATATGTTACACATAAAGTATGTAACAATATCATCATCATATCATATATTTCTGTGAGAAATAAAAGTAAAATCATGTCAATCACAGTATTTAGATAATTCTTGATCCAAGAAAAGAAATGTAATCGTTTGGTGTTGCAATAAATAAATTTCCAGTCTCATCTTATATATGAATGGATGAAAGATCAAAAATCAGTTTCCCAATTGACAAGAAATCAAAGTGGGGTTTCCTCAGTAATTTTTGGTGTTGTGGGAAGTCAAGGAAAGTGGTGGGAAAATAAATGCAGGGAAAACGGCAACAGTGGGCAACAAGAACAGAACGTATAGAAGAGAAAAAATTTTTGTAGCACTTGAAAAAAGGAGCGTGGATGACCAAAGCTATGCCAAACACTCGTTGACCGTTATGCTACTCAACGACAAAATCCAAATGTGTTGAGATTTTAAAGCGCTTTCGTGTTCTTTTCATGGAGACCTCTCTTGCAAGCTTACTTTGTTTGACCAACTCCTCTCCTTTTTCTCTCTCCTTCCATATCTGTATATCTCCAACTTCGTTTTGTTTTAGCATGTCTCTTGGTCCCCAAGGTCTCCAGGTTCCAGGAAGGAAAGGGGATGACCTTTAAAAAAAAGCCCCTCAAATTTTCCACAAAGAATTCATACATTTCGAGCTTTGAATTCATCAAACCACGCTGGTCTTTTACCACGAGGCTTAAAAACCGTTGAATTAGACCCATATATTTTTTTAAAATCCCATTTTATCATTCAAAACCTATCTCAGTTGATAAATACGAGATTTCAAGGACTGACGTGGCCTTTTTTGGTAGGGTTGGTGCGTCATTGAAGGTTTAGTGGACTGTATGGTTTTTCCCTTTTTAGTTTATCCTCCTAGTCCTATATAAGATCGAGAGGGCAGTCAGAATCAGAATCATCGTTTTGATTTACTCGAAAGGGAAATCTTTTCTGGCATAGAGAGAAACAGAGTAACAAGGAAAACATATCTGAAGGTCTTCTATATTCAGGATACAGGTAGATATACCAGTCAGTTTTGGCCAAAGTTTGAGTTTACATACATCTAGGATGCTTGATGGAAATGGCTTAGTCCTTTACATGCAGTCTGTCTGTTGGTATTGATTCATATTGTTCTGGTTATAATTTAATGATTCTGAAATGATTTGATTCTTTTCTAAGTTGGGTTAGATGACATTCATGATTAATGGAGTCGCATAGGAGTTGATTTTTTTTCCTCTTTTTTTTCCCCTTCAATTATTGGAGTTAATCAGTTGCAACTTGCAAGTGCTTTGCCTTTAACTTCGCCCTTTTTTTCAATTTTGTTTAGGACTTGAACATACATTGATTGTTATCTGTCAGGAGGGGGGAGATTCTGTTTGTTCAAGTATTCTTCTGATATGAACTTTGTGATACTACAGTATCTAATTAAATGTTTAACATGGGAGCTGGGCATTTTCCTATAAGAATTTTTGTTTCTTTAAGCTTCATCTCATGATCTGTATTATCTTGTAATTTAGTTTCTCGATCATGTTGAACAGGTCCAGGATTGTCGTGTCATAAACTAATTGAAGGCTTATGGGATTGTCACTTTCCTCGCTTGTATCAGCCTGGCAACAAATTCTAAGTCACGGGTTTTATGATTTGGACTACAACATCAGTCTCTGTTCAAAAGATGGAGAGGTGACCTTGAGGGTAAATAGCTTCAAGAGAACAGATTCAGAAACCATGACCAACTCAGTTGGGTCAGACAAAATTCAAAGAAAAAATTCAATTACGTTGAGAAGTAGTAAACCTGATCATAAAGTAATACTTGAGAAAACTTTTTCATTCAAGAATCTAGTTCATGATAAACGGAAGTTGGGTTCAAATGAATCGAATGGACTAATACATAAGCCAATGCCCACACTTTCTCTACCTGAACCGACGGTTTTGTTTTCACCAAGACCCGTTAGCGAGCTTGATGCGGCTGCTGTTAAGCTTCAAAAAGTCTACAAGAGCTACAGGACCCGAAGAAACCTTGCAGATTGTGCAGTGGTGATTGAGGAGCTATGGTGGAAGGTATTAGACCTTGCAGAGCTCAAGCAAAGTTCTGTCTCATTCTTCGATGTTGAAAAACCAGAATCTGCAGTTTCACGGTGGGCAAGAGCCAAGACAAGAGCAGCAAAGGTACTTTTTAACACATTCAAATGATTAAACAAATTTATGTTGTGACTCCTTATTTTGTCTCTTTCATTAACCATATTTATGATATTTCTTCCTTATTAATTACAGGTGGGAAAGGGATTGTCCAAGGATGAAAAGGCTCAAAAACTAGCCCTTCAACACTGGCTTGAAGCTGTAAGTTATCTGAAACATTTAGGATATAATACTGTTTAGCATTAATAATTAGCTGCAACTCTTAACTAGTGTTTTAAAGGCTAGAACAGGATGTTAACAAGTTTGGCTTAATCATCGATATGTTTCAACAGTTGAAAATATGAGACTTTATCCTCTTTGCTGGTTTATTCAATTTATCTAGACATAATAACTATGGAATATGTATAATCTAACTGTGTGGCCTGTGCCACATTCCCTGTTTCCTTACAGATTGATCCACGACATCGGTATGGGCACAATTTACACCTGTATTATGACGTTTGGTTCTCCACTGAAAGCACACAGCCTTTCTTCTACTGGTACGTAATTATTATATTATTTTATTCATCGCAGCCTTTCAAATTTTTCCCGTTCAACTTAGCTGTTCATCACATCCCTATGAAGTCAAAAAGTGCATGCAATTCATAGCATTCTAAGACTTTCGTGTATTTTGTTTCTAAAAGGTTGGATGTTGGAGATGGGAAAGAAGTAAATCTTGACAAATGTCCGAGGAAAAAACTACAACAGCAATGCATCACATATCTTGGACCAGTACGTTCTAATCAACACAGCTTCATGTATAATTTTCAGTTTCAGTAATGGCTTCCTATAAAACTAATATTTGCTTAAATCTATCATTCCAATAATTATTTGCAGAAAGAAAGGGAAGAATATGAAGTAATAGTTGACAATGGCAGGCTTATTTTTAGGCAAAGTGGGTTGCCGGTGGATACGACAGGGGAATCAAAATGGATATTTGTCCTTAGCACAACTAGGGTCTTATATGTGGGTCAAAAGGAAAAGGGTAAATTTCAACATTCTAGTTTTCTAGCCGGAGGTGCTACCACAGCGGCTGGAAGATTGGTTGCCCGTGATGGAGTTCTTGAGGTACGACCACATTCATGCATCCATGGAATCAATGTCTTCTCCTCATCTCATCTTACTATTTGTCACTGACTTTTGTTTGTGTCGACATTGCTTTACAGGCAATATGGCCATACAGTGGTCACTATCACCCAACGGAAGAGAATTTCATGGAATTCATTAACTTCCTTGAGGAAAATCATGTAAATCTTACAAATGTTAAGGTAAAATCTCTATTTGGCTCTTTAACATGTCACAATGGATTTACCTTAGCTTTCCATTTTTCAATCAGCTTTTAGTTACTTGGATAAATTTGGTAATGGTGCTTGTGATATTTTTGTTTACAGAGGTGTGCTATTGATGATGACTACTCTTATGGGCAAGCCGCAGCTAAGGTACCCGTTGATTCTCACGAAACCAGGAAACCTGACGTTAGTGATGGAGCTGACAGCATCAGAGGGTCAACAAGCACAGATGATCTTCACCTAGATGAAAAGATTAACACCAATGGCGAGAAAGCAGAAGCACCAGTATTCAATCTGGCCAAGAGATTGTCATACAAGTGGACCACGGGGGTTGGACCCCGTATTGGTTGTGTGCGCGACTACCCTAGCGAGCTGCAGTCGAAAGCACTCGAGCAAGTTCACTTGTCACCAAGGATTGCTCCTGGGTTCGTGAATTATGGTCCAATTCCCTCACCAAGGCCCAGTCCAAAGATTCATCTTTCGCCAGGGATTGCAGGTATAGGCCTGCCAAGTCCAAGACCCATAGCAGCAGCTAGGTAAGCCAGTTCACCGAAGGAGCTGGCCTACTAGCTTGCATGCTTGGTTAACCATAAGTTGGGTCAAGACTCGAAGACCATTAGCCCTGGTGCACTGCTTGTGCCGAAACAGGAATTTGGGGAATCAATGGGGCATACACATAACAAAAATGTCCATTCATTATTTTTTTATTCATCATTTTGTATGAAGTTATTCACTTCATTTTTTTTTACTACTACTAAATATTATTGAGCCAGGCGATTTTTTATCACACTTCTGGCTAAAAGTTCTTTTTTCCTTTGTTAAATAATGAAAAGGTAATAAATCATTTTGAAACTTTACAATTTTGTATGGGACCTGAACACACTCAATTGAGTCTGATAAAATTGTAAGAAAAAAAAAATCAATAACATTGAGAATTACCAAACCTGATCATAAAGAACAACTTTGAGAAAACTTTTTGTTCAATAATCTATTTCAACATAAAGCGAAGTTGGAATGGACTAATGCATAAGCCAATGCCCACGCTTTCGCTACCATAATCAGCGGTTTTGTTTTCACCAAGACCTGTTGGTTGCTGCTAAGCTTCAAAAAGTCTGCAAGAGCTACTGGACTCGAAGGAACCTAGCAGATTGTGCAGTGGTGATTGATGAATTCTGGTGAAGTTATTAGAGTGTTAATAATATTTTGTAATATTCTGTATTAATGTAATTAATTATTATATTAATTGTTATGATACTATAATTAGAATAATAATTTTAATTCAAATACGATTATGAAATCGCATGTGATTATTTTCCTAATTAGTGATAATCATTTATGTATAAATAAAACATTTGTACAGTATTTACTGAACTAGTAAATAAAAAATAACTTTCCTTCTTTAAAATATTTGTGTCAAGTCTCTAAGCTTGATTTTGCAATGTGACCCCTAACCTTACCTCGTGTTATTCCACATCAGCATTTTCGACCTCCTAATTTCATTTTTTAACATCTGTTTTTAATAGCTGTGCATGAAAAATGGAGAAATATAACATCTCTAAGCCAATTACTAATGTTTTGAATGAAAATAAATATAAGTAGTTTTTAACCCATGCAATACATGGAGTTTTTATTTTTCATAAAATTATTTGATTAATTAAGCCTTCGGAAATTCTTTCTTTTAAATTCTAAATTTATATGTTATAGTTATTTTAACTTGAAATCAAAGTATAAAAAAAAATCATATATAATTGCACTTAAAATTTGAGAATATATTTTATTCTTATTTTTTTCAACAACTTATAAATTGTATTTGGTAACTTAAATTTAAAATAAGAGATTTGAATTTTAAAATTAGTGTAAAATGTGTGATAAAGCACATGTAATTGTAACATTATTTCATATATTTTTTTCAAATTTAAATTATTAGATGTCTATCTAGTAGAAACTTTTAAATATTTAAATGTATTTGTAAATTTGAAATTCATCTTTTTTGTATCTTTTAAATTAAATTGATAATCATATTAAATTTTATTAATTTGTAAAATAATGTATACATTTTATTCTTACAATTTATATAACAAATAAAATACAAATTCATTTTTCTTAGGGTAATAATAGTGTTTCTTTATCAGACAATCACTTATTTTAAAATAAGTTATTTATCAGACAAAAAATATTAAAAAAATTATAATCTAAGAAATATATGTTAAAGTTAATTTTTATTTTTATTTTTATATATTAAAAACCTAACAATTTGATTGCAATCAACGTATTTATCTATGTCAAATAAACATTAAATAATCAATTTCAAAATTTGGTAGAAAACTCATACTTGTTCATTGATTACTTTTCCTACTTCTTTTTACATACATTTTAATAGATATTTTGGATTATATATATATATATATATTAGTATTTAAAGTATTAGAATTTAAATTATAATTACTGGAACTTAAAATTTAGTACTCTACCAATAGTTTATATAGTTGTTGGCTACTTTTAGATTATATTTGATATTAAATTATAAATATAAAATATTGCATAATATGAAAAATAAATCAATATTAGGTTTTACTAATTTAATGGTAGATAAATTTATCTAAATAAGATAATGAAATTAATAAATTATTTTTATAAAAAATGTAGTAATTATTTTAATGATTATATAATTTCTAAGTATTATAAGTTTTATTAGAATATCAAATAGTTGATAGGTAATAATTTTTAAAAATATATTTTTTATATGGATTGAGTAATTGGAAGTAACTCAAATTCTTTCCTCACATGCTAGAATGTCCTCCATTTAATATATAGCATTATAATATTAGAAAGATAATAGTATATAAAATTGAAATTTAGTTTTACAATGATAAAATAAATTTAAATTAATTTTAATGTTAATTATTAAATGTTAATGCATCGAAGCATACTTCAATTGTGTGTAAAGTTAATGTTGAATTTAAAACTTAAAAGTTAAATAATAAAATTTGGTTGTGAGCAATTTAAGGTAAATAATAATAAGAAATTAAATTTTAATTACAAATTGAATTGTAACTTATTCAAACAAGGCAAGAACATTGACTATTTACTAGAAAATGATTGTAATTTTATGTTTACTGTATTTTTAAAGATCTTTTTTACCCTTCAATAATAATTTAATTATTAGTAGATGTTTTTTGGTTGAATGTTGGACTATAATTTTATATAAATATATAAAAGTAAAAAATTTTCGCCAAAAAGTAATTGTCATACATGGATAGACCAAGTTTTTGATGTATGGATAACTTTAAATAATTACCATGTATCCATTAATTAATATCTTTAATTTGATTTAATTCAATTTGATTACTAAATTAATTGTATTTATATTTAATAACTTAAATTTCTCTCTCAATTAATTTTAATGCTTAACTGATTTGATTTTGACCAAATTAATTTGATTTACTTTAATAAATTAAATCTCTCATTTAATTTGATTTTGATTAAATTAATCATGTTTGCTTTAATCTTATATGAATGTATAAAAGTCAAAAGTCTTCGTCAAAAAAGATAATTATCTTATGTGGATGGTATAAGTTTTAACATGTATAGCCTTGAATAATTATTACTTAATGTTTTTAATTTAAGTTAATTTGATTCAATTCTAACCAAATTAATTGCATTTATATTTAATAACTTAAGCTTCTCTCTCAATAAATTTTAATTCTTAATTAATTTGATTCTAATAAAATTAATTACATTTACTTTTAATAGATTAAATCTCTCTCAATTAATTTTAATTCTTAATTTAATTTGATTTTACTTAAATTAATCAAATTTATTTTTAATTGCTTATCTCTCTTTAATTAATTTTATTAACTATTTTTTATTCACTCTTTAATACTATAAATATTATCTAATAGAGTTAAACTAAAAGAAACAACAATATTTAGTCATTCTTCACTAGAAAGAACTATGTACATTCTTTCTAACATATGAGTTGGATTGGTTTTCTCAGATTTCCAATTTTAGAAAAAAAAATTCAAATAATAAAATTATTTTGAAATTTAATCATTTTTTAAATATTTTTTATACTACATTTTGTGCAACTTGAGTATAAGGTATTAAATGTCTGTTTTGATAGTTTAATTTAATTTTATTCTATATGTTAAAGTACTTAAGGTTTATATTATATTAAAAGTAAATATTATATTATATTTTGTTATGTTACAATACATAAATTTAAATATATAAATTTTTAATTTTTAATAAGCACAAATCTTATCTTATAATTTAAAAAAAAAGCTTATATTATATAAATATACTCCTGTGTACCGCATGAATTTAAGATTAGCATCTTGTAATTTTTTCTTCATCAAATTATATCATTAAAATAATAAAATTTTAATGAATAAAAGAAAAAAAGATATTAAAACTTAGGTGACTCAAAGTTTTTAATAATTTAAGAAATTGATATATATGTAGACTTTTTTTTATAAAAAATGAAATTGTGAAAATTTATTTATAAAAATAACAAAATAGGTAAGAAAAAATCAAAATTTTACTTATATAAATTTGGAACTAAAACCTAGAACATATAAAATGAATCAATTCGGCAATAAATATAAAATTTTATTTTTATTATCAATGTTTATTGCCTCAATTAGCATCACAAATTTTTAAGAGACATTTAATAATTGTTATTATAACCTTATATAAGATTTAATTTTATAATAATAATTGTTATTTTTGCCTCAATTAGCATCACAAATTATCAATGTTTAACTTTATATTAAAATAATATTTTTAATTATGATATGATTATGATATCGAATGCAATTATTTCCTTAATCATTTAATCATTTGTGTATAAATAAAATATTTTTGTATAATATTTACTCAAACTAGTAAATACAAAATTACTTTTTTTTCTAAATTTGTGTCAAAGTCTCGATGTTTGGCTCCTGTCTGCCACCTTTGGCATTTTTTTTTACTTTTTCAATCTCACATATACAGTAAATTTTGTGAAAGCATGACACGTGTCCCGGATGACAACCTTAAAATTGTTACGTGTTTAGCTTTGAATTTGCTACGCGTTTTGTCTCATCAACTTCAAAAATTTCTCGTGTTACGCCACATCATCTTTTAATCTGTTACCAGTTTTGTCACGTCAGCTCCAACCTCAACTTGCATTATGCCACGTCAGTAGTTTCGGCCTCCTAATTTCATTTTTTAACATGTGTTTATATATATATATATTATATAGTTTTGCATGAAAACTGGAGAAATGTGATATCTCTAAGCCAGTTACTAATGTTTTGAAGGAAAATAAATATAATTTGTGGGTCAATGCAAGCAAAGTTTTTTTTTTTAAGTAAGCATACTTTTTATAATATTAAAGATTATGGTATTGTAATGAAATTAATATTTAAGATTACAACACCATTATGATATTATAATTTTTCCTTAATTAGAGATAATTATTTGTATATAAATATGACACTTTGTATGGTATTTTCTTAAACTAGTAAATACAAATTTCGTTCTTTTTTAATTTCAGAGTTCAACCAAAGTTGTGTGTCATTCTTCGATGTTGAAAAACCAGAATCTGCAGTTGTACGATGGGCAAGAGCCAAGACAAGAGCAGCAAAGGTACTTTTAAGTTTTAATACATTCGAATCCTTTTCAATTTTCAGAACAATTTTTTGTTATGTCTCTTTCATTAACAAGATTAATGATATTTGTTACTTATTAATTGCAGTTGGGAAGGGGGTTGTCCAAGGATGAAAAGGCTCAAAAACTGGTTCATCAGCACTGGCTTGAAGCTGTAAGTTCTCTGAAACATAGAGGATATACTGTTAAGTATTAATAATTACCTGCAACTCTAACTAGGGTTGTAAAGGCTAGAACAAGATGATAACAAGTTTGGCTTAATCAAATTTGACCCAACATTGAAATATAGA